TTCTCCACAGCTAAGGCATCCATCCAATACAGATAGAGCGTCATATACAATGACACTATCCTTTGGAAACCACCTATTCCTCTCATCGACTACCTTCACTAGGGTCAAGATTCATGGTTTTCTAAGGGCGGCCCATTAGCTTCCTTTGATGGAGCAAGGGATTTCGTCTCTTTCCTTCTGGGCCAGGAATGGAAGTTGTCGTTAAGCTTCTTTGGATCAATCGATAGTGTGCTTATCGCTCTACTTCGCTTGATTCTCATGCCAGTGGACTCGTCGCTCAGCTTTAGGCCTTATTAGCTTTCTGAAGTGAGCATGAAGTCCGAATTGAATAGATACTGAGAAAGCGTCTTTCGTGATGAAAGTTGCAAGTTCGGATTCAGGATTGAGAAAGAAATCAGCAAAGCGCAGCTGGAGCTGAATCTATTATAGGAGGCGTAGGGTAGGCTCTTTGGATAGATTGACTGGCTTAAGCCGATGAACCAGCTTCTACCACTGACGAGCTAATTCGGACTATGCCTAACTAGAGGAAGAAAATCACCTGATCTTGGCTCGGCATCTTTTGAAAGGGAATCCAATATCTGGTAAGAAAGGGCGAGTCGGCTACTCGAAGCGGAGAAGCAAGAGCTCACTCGACCCATAGGAATAGGGAGGAAGTTTCATTTCAAACTGCTCTTAGTTTGAGCTAGGAGATGGGACAATACGCTGTTAGACCGGGAGTTTCAAACTGACCTTTAGGGATCGGAGTTGCAAACTGCTCGACCTTAGGTAAGGTTGGGTAGGGAGGTCTTCCCACTTCCTCTTCCAATTCATGAAAGGGTACTAAGAAGAACTGAGGAAAGGAGCGGAGTTGAAGCTTGAGCGGTACTCCTTCTCTTTAAAACTCACTTCTTAAGGTTCGGAGATGCTCGCCCGTCTACCGGGATAGGAGAAAGAGAAGATCTCGACTAGGAGTCAGAGGGAATCTCTAGCGTTTTCTAAGCCAGGAAGATGCCTCTGCTGAAGTAGCAAGTATTGGGGTTTCAAACTGAGATTTGACTTTCTAGTAAAAAGGGGTTTACCAGATCGAAAGAATCCTGTAGCAAACGGGATTGATTCCACTTCCTTGCTGTTAAGTACGTCCCTCTTCTCTCTTGCCGATTCCGAACTCCAGGAGGAGAGTAGCTCAGCCGACTAAAGCAAAAAGCAGAGTTGGAGCTTGGCAATGCAGTTGATCTTCTTGCAGCTGAGAGAGATGCTGGCATTGAATGAAGCTGATTCCCCCGTATTGGACAGAAAGAACCTCCACTTTTGTCAATAAGCTCTCCTCGCTACTGTAAAAATTGCAAATGTCTTTTTATACACTGGCGCAGATGATTGCCCCTAACCTAAGGCACCGATGGACCAACGCCTTCGTCTATCACCCGAATTTATAGTAGTAGTGCCAGATCAAGCAGAGAGCGCTTTCAAGGAACGAAGTCATTTTAGTACTATCTATAGTAGAGGTAAACTTCGTTCTAAAGAGGTATCCGACTCAACACAATCAGTCACTTAATAGGGCTTCGTCCGCGGCAAAGAAAGAGCAAACCAGGCAGAAACTGGATATGCTATTAAACACGGGGGGACCTCCCGGGCTTTCTATTCCTATTCCATAATAAGCCCTACCTACTAGTATAGTACTAGGATCAGGGTTCGTGTTCAAGAATGGGCTGCTAAAGCCTTTTATTTATTTGCCTTTCCTTCCTCGTCCAGTGACGGATTTGCTCCCTCTTTCAGTAAGTCTTCTTTAGTAAGAAGAGTACTGCCTAAAGCTATGTGAGTTTGTCTATATGGGAACCGGCCGTAAACTCCTTTTCTGGTGTAGATCCCCTTCCTTATGAATCAGTTCCCCGGGTACAAGGAATGAGTGCTCCTAATGTCTTTTCTCTGTTTCGGTGTAGATCGTCTCTTTGTCTATTGAGACCTTTTCAAGTCGTCCATTCTCTTCGGTATGGATTCAAAGTCATCCCTCACGCGGGTGCAGGGAGTCCTGCTTGTGCTCTTTCTTTGTGGTCCAGGCCAGGCACTCCATATGTGTTTCGGTATTGATCTGAGCACTCGTGTAACTACTAATAAAGCTCGAGGGACCTTTCTTTCTGAGTTATTGGCTACCGGTGTTACTTCTCTTGGTCAGGTCTAAAGGTCTAAGGGGAAGCCCTTTTCTTACTCTTCAACTCCCGGTAATTTCTTCCTTTTTCTATCGAAAGAGAGTGAGTGCAAACCTTAAGGGGTCGTGAGCGAGCAATGAATCAGGCATCGGTCGTTCCAGCGGTAGAGTCCTTCGGATGTTGAATGGTCTGGTCAACTCGTTCCGTTCCTGTGTAGAAAGGAAGTAACCCGTGGGTATCTTCTATTGATTAACGAACTGGGAATCAGAGCTCGCTCTTCCTTTGCTTTGGATCTTCGGTAACTGGAGCATCCATGAAAGCGAGGTCTCTCCTGCAGCTTTGCCTTTTTTGCCACATACTAAGGGCCCCTCTCTTTTTCCTTATCGCCTTAGCGCAGACAGGAAAATCGGCATTTCGAAAACAATTAATTAATAGAAGAAAGTTCCCATAATATTCAGGAAGGACGAAAGCCTTTCTCTTTGGGGACCAGTGTGTGCTACAGTAATGTATGGCGCTCACTCTGGAAAGGCTGAAGCCTGTCTCCTTCTATAGTTCGTCTGTAAGGCTTCATTCAGAAATGAAAGGGCCGCCTTTTCTGGGCGTAACCCCTGAGGTATTCCAGAGCGTCTCTTTCCTTGTATATCTTCGTAACCCATCATCTGGTCTTCGATGGCTCAAAGCGGGGTCTTGTGACCATGCCTTCCCGCTCCCTTTTCTGGTCGTTTTGGCCCCCTTGAAGGCATAGTCTTTCACCCGGGCTTTCTCCCTTCTCGACCAGACGAAGGAGATATGAATTCCATTCAGGCGGGTAAGGGCTTGGCTTGACTCTTCTCTCCTGGTCGGGTCGGAGGCGAAGACTGGCAAAGTTCATCATTCAGTGGTGGGGTGTTCATAGAAAAGAGGGCTAAGCCCAACGAGTGGCAGATTTGGATGGAGTCTCGCTCATAGATAGAGGAAGAGTACGCGCGCTAGCGCGCTACGGCTTACGCAGTTGATCGGATCAGATAGCCCTTCGGGCAACCAACCGCACATCAAATTCCGATCAACAACTTGGAGGTATGGCTGAGTGGCTTAAGGCATTGGTTTGCTAAATCGACATACAAGAAGATTGTATCATGGGTTCGAATCCCATTTCCTCCGGCACGGAAGTGGAACGGGCGGGCGAAATTACGTGAGAGAAAGAACCTCTTGGTGTTGGTGGAGTCCCCCGGAGGACAGAATAGCACTACTTAGTGAGCGGAGAGCCCGTTGCGCGTTGTTTTGACCGGCCTATCTTCTTTTTATAAGCAAGCTCCCTCCGGCCCTGGGCGGCTCTCGGTTCTTGAGCATGTTGGGAGAGGAGATTAGGCGGCAGTTGAAAGAGCTGCTCGAAAGCTTGACGAACGAAAAAAGCCCTTTCTTTCTTGTTATTAGTAAAGGGCTTTTCCCTTACTAGTAAAGTGGTAAGTAAGGTAGGGCGCTATTCGATGAAGAAAACAGACTTTAGGAAAGTGGTTCAGGTAGCTCAGCTGGTTAGAGCAAAGGACTGAAAATCCTTGTGTCAGTGGTTCGAATCCACTTCTAAGCGGGCTTTGGGTCCAAAGGACAGGTAGCCGGGAGCGAGCCGGATTTTTTGAAATTCAAGTGAAAGAGGAAGCCAAAAAAAAATGTGAGCGCTCCTGCACTATACGGCTTTTTGGCGTCGCCCTATCTTGCTGGAGGCAGATTTTCTAAAAAAAGCGGTTGATTACTCGGATTGGTTCTCGCGTCCCTGTGCCCAAAAGGATGGGCGAGTTCGGTTCGAGTGTTCATCGATCGGGTGGATCTATATGCTGAGGGGGGTGAGACGAGGTGTAGCGCAGTCTGGTCAGCGCATCTGTTTTGGGTACAGAGGGCCATAGGTTCGAATCCTGTCACCTTGATGTGAAGGGCTGAAGTGCACAGCCCGGCACAGCCTCTTTAGGCTGGCGAAAAAAAACGCACATTTGTAATGTGGATATGAGTCTCTTTTTTTCTAGATTTGGTGTTTTACTCTCGAAGGCTCTCGGTGTTTTTGTAGGGATTGCTTTTGCACGTTTTCTAGGATCAGAAGGAACCGCTATAATAAGCACAGGGAGAAATCTTGTGCTTTTTTCAATGCTAATCTTAGGCTTGATCTTTTTATTTCGTTATTTGTATGTGCATAGTCGAAATAAGAAAATTGCCCGCTTTCTTTTGAAATTTATGTATTTAGCTCTTTTATTGGCCATTTCCTTGTTCTTCTATAGTATTCGCTCCTATATCCTTTCTTACTTTAGTCTCTTCCTAAGTGGTATTCTTTGTCCTTTTGTACTAATACCTCAGATGGAGAAATCATTCCTTATACTGGTGCTAACTCGGCCGAAAACTCAGAAGATTCATTTGAGCTCCAGGTCCTTGCGGAGCCTTGGCCTGTTACTAAGAATATCCCCTTGGAGTCATCGATGAGAAGTCGAATCGTAGCACTGGATAATTCTAATACTATTTTTCTCCATGATAAAGAAAGGGGGGTCTACTGGAGCGAAATAAAAACAGCTCTGGATCAAGCTACCTCTAAGTATGAATATAACCGATTACTCGATTTCGAAAATAGGGATCTTCAGATCAGGGAGAAGAAACATGAATGCTATTCCCTGTTTAAACAAGTTCTTTCTGAGCATCCCGACTTGCTCGATAATGATCCATATATAAATCCAACGGAGGCCATTCTTTCGTATTTTGACAATACGAGAGGAAACCGAAGAAGTTTTGAACGTTGCAGACACTGACAAGGAAGAAATTCAGATCTACGAAAAGATGGCGAAGGATATCCGGAAGAATGGACCAAAGTCTTACTATATTAAATCTATTATGGGCCATTTTGATTTGATAAAGATGGCGGTTTCGAATGACCGCCGTATCAATGTATGAATCCTTTTACTCCAGATTATGAACACCCGATTGTAGGATAGGATAGTTTATTATACTTTCTCTAGCTATTTAGTTACAGCTTTCACTCAGAACTCATAGGAAACCTCCCAACACTCCTCAGTCATAACTAAATAACTAACAAAGCAGTAACTCCTAAAGCATTCGGGGTAAGGGCACAGGAAGTATAGCCATTTTTTTTTTATGGATTCAAAAGAGGAAGTGGTCCTTAGATTCATGTCTAAGTCAGGAAGCCCCTGCAATATCTTTTTTTGATGGGGGGCGGAGTGAAACGACTAGGCTCTCTATCTAAAAGGTATCAAGATAGGGCAATTGGCGATCCCGGGGTTCCCCTTCGGGGGGTTACAGACCGGATCCGAGGAGAAAGAAACAAGGGAGTCTCCTCTCTTCTATTCTATTTATTCGATTTACAAACTTAACGCAGCGGATAATGCGACAACCGATTGTGCGACATCTATTCTATCTATCTAGACAACAGCGGATTTGCCGATCGGAGAATCCGCTGTTCACTCCTATCGTCTTCTTGCTAACAGCCAAAGAGCGGATTGGCACAGCGAATTCGAGAGCAGCAGATTCCAACAACTGATATTGCGATTCTTCTTGAACTGACCTTTCATGAGGGAACGATATTGATCCTCATCTATATGTAGCTGCCTTTGTCTCTATCTATGATGCTATAGATCATCTTGATATAGCAGCGGGCGGAGAAAGAATGCTGCCTTTCTGCTCTTTCTACCTTTGCTTCTCCTGCTTGCTTGGGTCTCGCTCACGGATCTCAACCACGAGACTAAGAATCATGCTTACGAGGCTATCTCGATCTCTATTGTGCAGCCTGAAGTGGTTAGTCTGGTTATCAAGGAGGATAAGATGTCTGAGAAGGATTAAGTGGTTGATAGTGAGCAATCGGCTAAGGGAGGATGACAATGAATTCTCGTTCCAGACAGCGACGGAGGATGGTGTAGAATTTGAACAACACTCCTTTGACTTGCTATCTAAGAGACTAGCCTGGAGAGATAGGAAAGACGCTCTGCTCTAAAGGGATACTAAAAGGCAACTCGATGCCCCTATGAGGGATTGACAACTTGATGTCGCAAGATCGGTTGTTAAAAGACTAAAGCCCACCTTCAAGCTAAAAGTCTAGTCGTATTTCTTACTTATTCTTCTTCCGCCATACCCAAGAGTCATTCACTCCCTAAAGAGATTTGAGAAGAGTAACTAAGAGAAGAGTGGTTATAGGATTTAACGAAAATCGGTTTATAGTAAGTGTGCCGCTAATTGGCATATCTCTTTGTTGTCGATTAGAGACCTTCCTTGCCCTGCTGAGAGCGATAGACTTTCCAACTGAGATGGAGAGAATGCGCTCCTACTCTCTTTCCATCGCCGATGCTAAAACAAAGAGGGCGTAGACCCGAGGGGGGGTTGAGTCAGCAGCTAGTTTTGCCGGAATAGGAATAAACGATGCAATTGAATCTGTTGGAGGAAGGTAGAGCAATAGACGGAATGAGTCTTAGTTTCAATATCCCCCCATAAGTTTGATTACATCGCGTTCAGTTTGAGCTGGGAAGTCAACTAGGTTTTGCTATTCCTTCTCGACTTCTATTTCATCCCTTAAAGGAGATTCGGGAAAAGATAGAATAGGAAGACGTGTTTCCAGAACAAACAAGATACGGGTTGAGAGGGGGAAGTTAGCAAAGTTAGACAAGATTGGAATGGGCATAGGAACATGTATTGATGTACCAGATCGGCTAATGATCCCAGGTTGATGCAATGTATTCCACCAGTTGACTGAAGACTTGATTATTGGTATATCGATCGGTCCAGCACGGATTGAAATAGGAGCCGGTTCGACAGGAAGCTTTTGAAAACGCAGTGCACCCAGGTAAATCAGAAACGAGATGAATACAGACGTTAAACGAGCATCCCACACCCAAAAGGTGCCCCAAATAGGTATTCCCCGAAACCCCCCAGTAACTAAGGTAAAGAACGTAAAAAAAGCACCCATTTCTGTACCGGTTCCGGAAGAGCTAAGAATAAGGGGATGTTTTGTGAATAGGAATAATAAAGTGTTTATAGCCGTAGCGATATAAACAAGAATACTCATCCAAGCCGCAGGAACATGTACATACAGAATACGAGAATTTCCACCTTGTTGAAGATCTAATGGTGCTACCCGAAGACTTAAATGAATAGCCATCGCTGTTAAGAACAACCGAGATCCAATGAGAATTAGCGCATAGCTTCTGGTCTTTGACATCAAAAAAGAAGGTTGTAATAACGAAAGGGACATCTGAGAATTTTGTCCTAGCTAGTGGAACAAGAAAGACATGGTTAGAATAGCCCTTACTGTGAAATATTAGCAAAAATAGAAAGTACCTCCTAATAAATAGAATTTCTTAGATCCAGCAAATTCAGCAGCTCCTCACATCCCCAACTATGAGTGCCACATAAAAGCACATCATAGTAGGCATCCCTCAGAAAGCTGTGCTGAATAGCTTCATCCCCAAACTTTGTCCGATCAAGGTCCGTCATGGTCCATGACGGGGGTAAGACCTTCCCGGCTTCATGCACACACCTGTTGTATTCATCACAAAGTTGATAAAATAAGGTATCTAAGTCAGGTGCAGCACTTTGCCCGTCGGACAAAGTTGAAGAACTAGTGGAAGAAGCGGAAGAAGGGAAGGAAGTCAAATCAGTATCCATGAGAAAATCCAGATCGCTAAGCCTTGGATTATCATATAGTACGAGTTGAGAGCTGTTCATCTTTTCGTATTGGATTATAGCTCCGCTCGTGCGTGGCACTCCTTGCTCGCGGAGCAGCATACCGAAAAAAAGAGTGTTTGGAACACCCGAAAGCCCTTTATCGGATTCGAACCGATAACTTAAGCCTCTTTATTAAGGGCGGGAGCTTTACTCTTTGGGCGTGCTAAGTTTATTTAAGTCATTTTTGCGGTTCACTTAAGATTTTCTATCTATTTCTGTCTTCATTATCAGCTGCATGCTGTCGGCGTTATATCCACTCCACACTGACAAAGCGAGATTCCCGTGAGATCACCATCGGCTTGTTGAAATCGAGAAAGGTCACTCCGTCAAGCTTTTTTCTTATATACGATACCCTTTGCCATGGCCCTTTCTTTCTCGTATATATATCTACGTCATTCTTTTGAAGTGAAGCAGATGGACACAACAAGTTCACTAAAAGAGCAGTTAGGCCTTTCCATAAGCCTCTACTCAAGCACTCGAGGAAGAAAGCTGACAGACGTAAGAAAATGGAAGCAGGTGCGCTAACCGCCACTTCTTAGTTCCATACTCTCAAAGATGGAGTGAAGCTTGCATTCAAAGCTCTTTCTTTTTCTTTCCATCGACCATCCCCTTCTCCTAACATGGCGAATAAACTGATTAGTAAATCTGCTTTCTTACTTCTACTACGATAATACGAATAGTAAGAATGAAAGTCTCATCCGATTTCTTTCTTTTCTATACAATTTGAATGAATGAGATTCCATGGGGTTGTAGGAAATCGATTGCCGGGTTGTGTTCGTGAACCTATAAAGAACTTTTTTGATTGCCCTCGGAAATTACTGAAAGACTGGCCTACGACCCCTCACAGAAAAAGGGTCTCTGCTTAAAGGAAATAAGTCTTTGGGCGTACTTTGACGAGGCTCTTCAAGACCTTCTTTCTATTCTATAGAAGTGCCAATAGCCAATAATCTAAAATCTTACTATTAAAATAGAGGGTAGTCTAGTCTAGCGCGTAGTTTCAAAGAATTAAATTAAGAGAATCAGCGATCTATGCCTTACGAACGTCAACCACCTCTTTAAGGTCTTCAGTAGTTAGGGGGCGCGGAGATGTTAGCTCAATGCCGCCTTTCTTGGGGAAGGAAGATGGATGGTCGGATCCCTCTAGTTGCATTCCTTTTTTGAGAGTAGCATGTATAGTATTCCAGGTTCCATTTAGATCGACTCCTCCGGCACTAGAAGCAGAACTACCTGCCCAGGTTAAGTAAAAGAATCTCTAAACCAGATATATGTCACGTACGGCGCTTACAAGACAGCTACTAACAAAGCAACCTCGGCTAGCTACGCTCCCTAAACCCCTCAATGCTACGCTTCCTCCTTTGCGACTTCGATACGTGCCTATAGTAGTAACTTCCACTAAGGCAGGAGCTAAGAGATCTATCTTAGATGAGAGTCAGCTATTACTTCCTCTTACTAGAGGTTGCGGGGAATCGTTAAATCTATTATGTAATGTCTTTTTCATTCTCCATTCGAAAGTAAGGAATATCCTTTCTAAAAGAAGAAAGCACTACTGACTTCCGCTTTGACTTCCTCCCGAGCGAGAGCGATCACAGGACTAGCGGAGGGAAAGCAAAAGAAGAAAGAAAAAGGATCGAGACAGGAACCTTACTCTCTTAGCATAGGCTTGAAGCCCTCATGTCCTATAGGAAGTGGAAGTCAGAAATCCTATCCATCTTTTTATCGAAAAATCTCTCAATCTATAATGAAGAAATCATATCGTGCTTCTATTTTAGGATCCTCTAAATCCTCAGACACCGAGACTATGGGGAATCCATATTTGTTAACGAAAAGATTCCCAAAATTACAAGAAACCACCTTCCCATCTCCGGGCTTCATAATTTCAAATTGAACTCCTTCATCCATACAGGAATTCTCTAGAAATAAGAGAACCTATTTTTTGACTTTGCATGCAGTTCCGATTGGAACAAGCATTTTATGAGAGAATCGTGCGAAGGGCAAGTCCGGAAACTTAGAAACGAAATATCCAAAAAGAAGTGAAATAAAACCGGACGAAGAAATCGGACGGGCGGTATTCTTTCGTCGGCCCGGTTTATCCCTTTCTTGTCTAGTGTATTAGACTCCATTATAGGTCATTCGGAAGGGCTCCGTTTCTATTTTAGGGCATAACGTTGTGGTTGTTCCCTCTCCTTTCAGTCGAGTGACTTCGTACCTCTCCTGACCGAGAAAAAGAAGTTCAAGAGGCATCCTCCATTCATATCGATTTGGGTTTTTCTGCACCATATTTGGATCTGCCTCTTCTTCGATCCGGAATTCCCAACAAATCCTTGACTCCTCGAATACAATGGGATTTAACACCTGGCAAATCTTTCACTCTACCTCCTCTTATTAACACCATAGAATGTTCCTGCGAATTATGACCTTCGCCCGGAATGTGAGCAAATATATCATGTCGATTGCTCAATCGTACTTTGGCTATCTTACGTGGAGCTGAATTTGGTTTTTTCGGTGTTCTCGTTGAAACACGCGGGCGTACTCCTTGCTTCTGGGGACATTGATCCGAAGCTCGAGTACGGTCCGTGCGCCGTTTTTCTTCTCTACCATGACGAATCAATTGATTTAATGTAGGCATCGCTCTTTCCTTTGTCCTTCCCCCCTATTTTTGCCCTATCACTAGTGATTACTCCCGATCCGAAGCACCCCTTTTCCATTCATAGAGAGATCCAATCGTCAAAATCAATAAAAAGGCCATCATAGACCAAGATCCAAACGGATCAATCTTGTTGGGAGGTACTGCCCAAGGAAAGGAAAAGGTTACTTCCGGATCAGGAATAATAAATAAAATGGAAACAAGATAAAATCGTATATCGAAACGACTTCTGGCATCACCGAAAGGATCGAAACCACATTCGTAGGCCGACAATTTTTCTGGATAGGTCGAACTATTGGAAGCAAAGGGAAAAGGAAGACCGAGTGGGATCAAAGAAACTAGCAGACTGATCACTAAATAGATACAAATAGGTGCAAATTCTGACATTACCACAAACCACTTGGTTCTTTCGCTCCTTGCTCGCGAAGCGGCATACCGAAAAAAGATAAAAGAAATTATATCACGCTTTGGGATCATCAACAGAGGACCCATTTAAGCCTAGTGCAGATCTCCTTCCACAGTCAAAGATTGCAACAAATCATTTCCGAATCTTGTATCGATGGGAACATATGGGACTGATGCGCGACCTGTAGACCGAAAATCCGAAGATCTCTCGATCTCGATGTACTCGATTTCAGTGGCTTTTTAGAAAGTCTAACTCCCCTTCCCCTTATCATGGGGCTACCACGACAAGGGCCGGCCTCGACGCGAAGTGCCGTTCAGTCACGACTTTGGCCCCTCTCTACCCAATAAACAACAAATCCACTAGAGACCACGAACCAATAAACAACAAGACAGTCTTCTCTTGTTGTCTATTCTAAAAAGAGATGAGAGCCCCGAAGGGCCTTTTCAAGACGGCGATATGGGGCGCTATTCCGTGTACCAAATGTTTCCATTTGGGTAAGATGCCCCGTGTAAGTGCTTGCATCAAGTGCTCTCCCTTCCGGATAGAAAAGAAAGCCCCGAATATGATGTCTCTTTTCAAAGAGAACTTGACGGGAATACCCGTCCTCCACAAGTGCTGTTTCTATATGCTTCTCAATCTGGAGTTGGGTGCGAACAAAGGAGCCCAGAATGGTATCTGTATAAGATAGACCCCACCAATTCGCCCGCAATCGAGCAGCGAGCTCTGCTCGACGGGTGTTGTCATCGAGAAGCGGAGGCTCCAGCTCGGGAATCCGAGGTTGCTGGTTCACGCTCGCTTCTTCGCTGGATTCTGGCCAAGATTCCAACAGGACCTCTATCCCGAAGGAATCCTCCGCCCGCGAGCTTGCTGGGCCGGAGGGGCCGGGGTGGGAAATGACTGCCCCACTCGATACCCCAAAAATGAGTAGAGCCCCAGTAAGAAAAGAACCTTGGAAGCTAATTCGCAAAAAAGAAAAATAGAAAGACAATAAAACGAAAATACATAGATATAGCAGTTTGAATAGAAAGCCTGACCCTTTCTTTGTTGAAAAACAAGAAACAAGACGAAAGAGAAAGATCAAACCTAAAATGACAATTCCAAAAAGAACAATTCTACCAGGGCTCATTGTAGCGGTTCCTTCTGATCCTAGAATCTGCTTCACTAAGAAATTTGTGGATAGGAAAACTGTTGCTCGAAGAATCCAATTCATGATGAAAATCATAGAGATTCACCCTCACCTCTTCCTGTTCTATTAATCAAAAGCATCCAGCAACTTAGCGCCGGTTTATAATTCGATTCTAAGGGAAAAGGGGAGCCTTATCCCCCCCCCTTTCCCCCCTGGCCGTGCCACACTTCAGAAAGACCCTTAAGGCCTTTCACTTACTTGTGTGAGCCCCCCTCCCTGTTTGTTCTTCTTTCAATACTTTCCACGGGCAAGGAGATAGGCACTTCTTTTTACAATTAGTTTAGTTAAGTTAAGAGCTCTTCATCATGTTCGAGAATTTCGAAAGAAGAGAGGAGAGTGAATGGACCTCTCACTCACGGCACACATGCTATATATCTCTTTTCAGAGAGAGCATTTTCGATCTTAGGCGATCTAAGGTTGACCGTCTCCCCGGCCCCCTTTCGGTGCACTATTGGAGAGCTCTTTTGGTTTTGGCCCGCCGCTTTCTCCATCGAAAAATGAAACTGTCAAGATTAGCCTACTGCAATTCTTATCTATTCTATGTAATTTCCTGATTTCTTTTCGTTGAAGTGTAGTGCAACTATCTGAGGTTTTTCTCTTCCGAAGACGAATCTCCTTCACTCACGGAACACAAAGAAAATCTCAACGAATTAATAACCCTAACAATCAATAGATTGCCTTTTCTTACATTCCACTGGGGTACCTTCTTTCTTTGCTTTGAGGAAAGTGTTTCGCTCTTCTCTTATTCAATTTCTTCCGCGGGTTAATTTCCTTGCTTTGAGACCATTAGGTTTCAGTTAGTCCGTTCCTGTCCAATCTCAGTTGTTTATGGTTGAATAAGGGGCGCCCAAATCAACTATTTCGTTTGAGGGGTAAGAAAGCCCGTGTTTTTCGTCAACGTAATAAAACAAATGGCCAACCGGGTTTAACTCGACCAAAGGGGAATCCGGCTGAGAACTCGTAATCTGGCCAAGGCTTTTTCGTCAACGTAATGTGTAATGTAAGAAATATGGCATGCCCCAGAGAAATCGGGAAACAAGATAAAGTAACCCTAAATACAAAAAAGAAGATTCTTCGTCTTTCAGCCATACTCTTGTTTTCGCCCCTAAGTCGTCCTGCACGACATATTATAAGAACTATAATTGGAACATAAGCTCCTAAAATGATAATAAAAATGTGTATGGAAAGTTCCGCAAAAAATGCCATCGTTCGTTAGTTTTATTCACTCATGATCTGGCCTGGTCGACCCAATCATGATATTGAAGGATGGGACCTTTTCTCGAAAAACTCCGGATCCCGAGAAGAGTTGAAGATGGTGCAACATCGAATCCTGTTACGTTACTTCGAATGGAATCTTAGCCCGCCTCACTTTCTTTCTTTACTGCATAAGGGCCATAAGGGCATAAACGAAGTCAAGGGATTTCCTTCTTTCTAACTAGTGGCTGAGAGTAAGCACCTAAAAGCCTTCATTCAATAGATTTGTGGTTGAGTCAATAACATGCTCTGGGTCGGGAATCTTTGCTCTTCTCTTTTGCATTTCCGCTGCCTGCGTTCTTCTTCCTTCGTGTCCGTCCGTATCGCAAAGCTGGTCGACGCCAGCTGTAATGGTTGATAAGAGGGGGCCAACCAAGACTACCTAAAAAAATAAAAGAAAGCTTTGTTCGATAAAGCAAACGATTCGTTCCGACAACTTCGGACCGGATTCACCCCTTTCTTTGAATTAGCCGATCTTACAAAAATAGATCGGGCGGGCTGGTTGGGAAGGGGTTATTAGCGGAGAAAAGAATCGCTGAGAGATAGATTCATTCTATTCTACTATTTGGTTAGGGCGAATGAGTGGCTGCGCAGCATGCTCCGGAGGAGATTGACCCTTCCTCGAAGTCCAGTCAGAAAGGAGCTGTCTAGACTGCATTTCGGGAGTTTGAACACCATCCCATTTCAACAAAAAAGACAACCCTGTCAAAGGTATCTAACCTTCCTTATGATATGAGTGGAAATCCAATCCCTGTCTTTTTTGCATAAAAACCAGCCAGCCGGTATATATAAATATATGGATTTGAAACAGCCGTGATAAGGAAATGACCAAGAGATGAAGAGTAACCAACCCCAAAGGAAAAGAGGATACGAGTGAAACCGCTTTCCCGAGGGGACAAGAGAACATCGTCTGAGCGGCTTCTACCTTAGATATGTTATTTGACGATAGAGATTTGGAACGAACCGCTGTTAAGCAAACCAAGCAACCAACAACCCCAGGAATGTATGTAGAAAAGAGGGCTTAGGAAGAATAGGAGCTTTCTGAGACTCCTCACATAAAGCAAACCAACTCAAGCCAGGGATTAGTTAAATGAAAGCGCCAGCTCATGGATGAGCGATCAGAGTGACTAATCGGCACGGAGCGAAATGCCACTCAATTGAAAAGCATAGTAGCTCGACCACCCCCGGATTGGTTGGGGGGGAGAATATGAGATTGGGGCAAACAGTCCCGCCGACTATGGCTATGGCTGACAAGGAGCCTAGCCCCTAACCTATTAAGTAAGAAAAGAACAGATGCGCGAGCCGCTCGATTAATATTATATATACTTTTTTTGAATAAAGGGATTGAGAACAACTGCTTTGGCGAAGATTCGCAGTTTTCCAGCTCACTCTGTCTTTAAACCTAACCTTACCACAGGATACCGACTTAACACGGTATTATCAGCCCATTTCGAAGTAACGCGCTGGCTGCACTCCTTAAAGGAAAAAGTTTTCCAGTAAGGACAGCCAGTTTTTTTTTTAGCTCTTACTTTTCCCGATGGGTTCTGTGTCAGGCAGAGCTTTGCCAAGGCGCATTTTCCTACGTGTGATCGGGCCGAAGTGAAACAAGGGATCAAAGCGTCGAGGCGCGAGCTTTCTTGATTATCCACGAACAGGGCTTGGGCTTAAGAGGAGCGGAGCCTTTGAATCCAAAATTCCTCGTTAGGAATAAAAACTAAACTTCATATTATCATAAGATAAGAGGAAGAAGGTGAGGCCACCAGCTTTGGTAGGAGAGAAAAGTAGAAATGAAATTGCTCGCGGCTAGATATGAATTGAGACGAAAGCTTGACAAGCCCATTCATTTAAGAAGGAAAGCGAGAAGTTAGTCGAGCACAACCTTCCAATTAAGCAAGGGCCCTTCAAGCAGCCACCAAGAAGAATGGAACCATTGGTATAAGGATCTTAACTATTTGGCTTTTTTTTTTCTTTTGACGGGGTTGGGGAATTCCCCGATCCAGTCCTTTATTGAGTACTTAAGTTTAGTTTAACAATCCAGATGCGGGGGAACCATTATTCAATAAATCCTGCCTTTTTTTTATAGTTATACTAGTTCCATCCTTGTGCTGGGCGGAGGCAAGGCGGGTAGAAAGAAAAGAAAGAGTGGACCTTACCCTTTAGCTAGCCCCTAGGCGAAGGAAAGAGGGGTAGCTGGCCCTATCCAATTTCCTTGGATTGGGGGTTCCATCTCTTTAATAAAAGTAGAATCCTACCCTACTGCAGGAAGTCTTCAAAGAAGAAATCAAATAAGGAAAAGAATATAGGAATACCAGGATTCTCCAGTCTTCCTCAGAGATAGATCGGAGAAAGAGGAGATCTAATGAGAAGAAAGACCGGGGGTCAAGTTTCGTATAACAGAACCATTAGCGATTGTCGCTCTTGTCTTATCTGCTGCTGTCTCTGACTGACGAAGAAGGAGTCCCACTACACGAAAAGAAAGAAGGTAGGATCCCGGGTTAAATGGTTGATGGTTGAATGAATGTGACCAAGCCAAGAATGGCTTTTGTTGACAGAGAGATTGGCTAAGATAAGACAAGAAGAATCCGCAGTTCTCTTTCTCTTTGAACGAATCCCCTGCTTTCGCCTTTGAAGGAGTAGGCGACCTTGGAGTCAGGGTATTAGCCTTTTCTTCAACCATGTCTTGAAAGATAGCCAGTTCATGCTAGAACTCTAGTTACCGTTTCAGGACTGGGCTAAGAGAGACTGGAGTAGTTAAGAAGCAAGGAAAGGAAGAAGGAATGAAGACCCAACGTCAACTTTAAAGCGAGTGAATGCCCGGTTTAGACCATCGGGGAGGAAGCAGAAGCTGCAGTTGTTCACGAATCCGTTTCAGGTTCGAGGGAAGGAAAAAACGTTGCCCTGTTGGTGGTTACGTTTGTTTAAATCTATAGTACGCTGACTGGGCCCCCTGTCCGTCCCTGTTATTGGTGCCATAGGTACTGAGATAACACACCAACTCGAGGGAGGTGCTCGACCTAACATTCTCAACCCATATGAGACAGGGTAGCCGCCTAGATTGTTACTGATGCTGAGCCTGCTAAGCTAAGCCACATGCAGACTTCGAGTACCTTCATGTAGAACAAAAAATATACCAATCAGACCACACCAAGTGCTCTTGAGCACCCTGCCAACCAAATGCGCAGGGCGAGAAAGGCGCTCACCTACAACCCCGCCTGCCTCGGCTTAACCGTACTACCCTGTGGGAAAGGTTCCCACCCAATGGACTTAGACTTGGCTAAGATTAATATGGGAAAGGGACGCAGAGCGAGATGTCAAGAAGGTCGGGAAGAATAACGTTAATGGGAGTATGTATAGAGAGGCTAGTACGTACGGGTTCGGACGGAGATACCACTATTGAGACCGGGCCTGGATCTTTGGAGTCCGTGTTGCCTCCCCGGACACAGAAAGGCTCGTGGAGCTTTATATGCCGGTCTGTTCAAGGAGCAGAACGGGCGGGAAATGGACTACTGTGCAAAGATGAATTTGATTTTGAATCCATTACTATTGTTGAGTAAAGCGACTACGTTCCATTAAGAGCATATTCTATTAACAGTAATCCTTAATGCACTGAAAGAGAGGGAGTCCCCCACCCCAACTAGGAGCTGAGCCTATGACCGACTAGCCTTTGTGATTTGATTGCTTATTCGAAGGCAGACTTGGACTCCTTTCCTTCTATTCATCAGATTTTGAACTGACTCCGGCCTTGGCCATAGAGAAAAAAGTGAGTAGGTTGATAGAGGAGGCCGGCCATCAATACGTTTATAGAGAGAATTACCCCTCTTTGGGGCCATGGCTTCACGGGGACAGTACAGATATGGAGTTACGAATATATAGAATAATCATTTTGATGAGTTTGGGATGAGAAGCGACGCCTTTTATGATTTTATGTGTCTCTGGGTAATTTACCCATTGCTGTGGTCGTGAGGAAAGTGATTCTCTTTCTTTTTATTTTTATGCTTTCCCAAGAAATACCTATTCTATTATATTACACTTCATTTAGGGTTAGCGTTTACGACTATAGCAACAGAAAAGCCCGAAAAGAGAACGAACTTAACATAAGAAAATAGCTAGGGGAATTATGACTGACTAACTAAGCGCTGACTTGGAACTATTTAAACACTACCAAAGCGAATCAATCATAAAAAAGGAGGTGACCCGGTTTGTAGAGAAATCCGTTCTATCCCGAGCTGGTAATTAGAGTTAGAAGCTTTACAGCTTCCTCCCAATACCAACGAACCATGCGTAGAAAGATCGAATAAGACCTCGTGAAGATAAGATCAGTCTTTCCCTAATCAGACTATTGCTCTTCCCCAATCACTGCTCGGGAAAAGTCTGGAAGAGACCATTGGTCTGGCAAAGGTTTGCCAAAAATGAGCATCTCCAGCTCCAAGCGATCACAAATAGCATCAAAGACAGTACTAAACATTAGAATGACTCGAATTGACTGTATCTATCGACATCGGACTGAAAACACTGTCTATAGACATAGAGGAAGGGTCTTCCCCAGAAGGAGAGATTAGTACTGGAAGGTGAAGATGAAGGAATTTGAGCGCTGATGTAGCTAACAGCCACCTTCATAGTCGATTCATTAGGGTCGTCACCTTCTACCCAACTAGTGGAAGTATCCACCGTTTTCTTTGTCTGTTAAGCCTCACAGCTATGGGACTTCCTAAAGAAAACTGCAATCGCAGTTTATCTCACAAGACCACCGAGATCTTCGACTTAGCTCCCAAAGGTAATCCACCCAGCCCCTACTTGCTTTGCTCTATAAACTTCTATCCTACCCTTTCCGAATGCCCGGGCCTTGAGATTACTGACTTTCAGCTAGTCACAAAAGTGCAGCTCCGCTCTTCATGCGGCCAAAGAGTTTAGCTTCTGCCTTATTATACGATGATAGTGGCTAGCTTCTTTGGCATCTTCGGGTGCCTACTTCCAGCAGATCTGTGGGCATTCAAAGTCGAGTTTCGGGGCTTCGTTCTTCCAGTTCTGCAAGCTTTCTGGATATCCCTTCGTTAGCCTTTTTGAATTCAGCTACCAGTGAATCCTGTTGTTTGAGGAACTCTGCATCTTTGGCTTGTAAGTACCGAATTTCAACTGCTAGCTGCTCTCTTTCTTCTTCAATCTTTGAGAACCGAGCTTCCAGGGAATTGAGCTGTTCATGCTCCTGATCTAAGGCACTCTCGCAGTTAGAAGTCTTTTCAGAAGCAGGATAAAGTCAGTCTTTGGGTACTTTTTGGTTATTTTGGCTGTAGCTCTTCGTCGTCCAGGTGCATTTGATTGTACCCAGAACTTCTGTCCATGAATGATATGGCTTCAAAAGCCACTGTTCCCGTCAATTATGAGTTCGCTTATTGGTAATGGGAAGTCCTCTTTAGGGCAAGCTGCATTTAGGTCTCTGAAGTCGACACACACTCGTACTTGTCTGTTCTGTTCTTCTTGCGTACTGGCAAGATGTTGGAAATCAAATCCACTTGGGAAATAGGATTCCCTTATGAAAGAAAGCGGCAGCTATGAATTTGTCCACCACTCCATGGGTTCATTCCTATTCAATTTGCATCTCGAATTCAATGTATTCATATCGGATAGAAAGATGAAATCTTCTTATCTGTATGGGAGTCGCTCTTGAATCGAGTTAGTGAAGATAGCAGAAAGCTAGTCTTCTTTTTGTTTTGATAGTCAGAGATAGAAATGCGGCGAATCGATAAAGAGCTTATTAGCTTATTTCAAAGGGAAGGACTGATTGAGTATGAAGTAGAAAGAAGAGACTAGCTGATGTGCTTACAAGCCTTTGATCCTTTCTATCTCTTATAGACTATAGATTTTGATTCAATTCCAAAGATGTAGGAAGTGTTCCCCAGCGTCGAAGTGAAGTTCTCGGCGTCCTCCTTCCTAGCAGCCTATTCTAGTTTCAAACCTGCAAACAGAAACTCTTCGCGCTTTTTTTTACTCAAAAGTCTGGAAACTGCCTTTTCTCCTGAGGCGGGACTGGTATTCCATTTCTTTCTCGAAAGAGGTATGCTCTTAATACGAAATGCTTTGCTCTACACCTATTTGCTGCTTTCTTACCGGCTAGCTAAAATGGATCTGACCAGCAAGACGAATTGAGCGCATTCCTCCGTAACTAGAATGAGAAGACTAAGCAGCTGATCCCGATTCTGACCAGGAAGACGAAAGAAGTGTGGACCAAGGATCCCCTTTCTCTACTGAACTCAGGCGCCCCTATCAAGTAAAGAATTCCCATTCTTATGCCGGTAGTAATTAGAGTCTGATTGGAACGACATCGCTAGTGGGCTCAGTGGTGAGCCCAAGGGGTGGATGAAGGAGGTGCTTCCAAAGGCTAAAAGCATGCGAGCTTAGAATCTGTCATTCTTTTCTATACATATTCTTTGATTCTGGACATGTGGAAACTATCCGTTGAGCTTACTCTTCTTGCTTTACCTCTTTCATTCCCTTCCTGCTTTTTCCCCATCCCATCGATCCATCAACCACTCGACGGAATCAACCATTGCTTTGGAATAGAGATCCTTTCTTCCCAAGTTGCCAGCATCTTATTGCTTATATTATAAGGAATCTTTTTCTGTAAATAATAATGAAGCGTATCTTTGGGGATTACACAACGGAAAGAAAGGGGTATGTTTACCTTTATGGAGTCTCTTTTTATGATATGTTTCATAACATTCATATAGATGAACTCGTTGATGATTGAAAGTGGCGGGCCCATGTTACGAATGACATTGCTATAAATCATTGGTATTAAATTGCTATTTGTAGCTGTACTTAAAAAGTTCTCGTGTACTGTGTATATAGGCTCATTAAAAGATAGCATTTCTTCTACGACGTTCATTGCTATATTAGCATCCTTCTGATGGATGAAGTTGACGAAGGTAGAGATATCTGTCTTCCTACGATCTCTCTTAGATGATGAAACTCTGAGAGTGACCTTACGCCTCTTCTTATGAAGTCTATCATAAACCCATATATTTGTGGGCTCCATGATCATATAATCCTGTACCGTGGTAAAGTAAGGCACTTTATAGAAAACAGGGCGATCCCCTGCAGACGCGATCCAGCCTATATGACGGATCAACCGGATCAGGCATTCCATGCCAGGATATCTCTCTTTCCAGAACTTAAAGCAGGCAGAGGCTACAACGAAGCATTCCTTATGAGTGATGTAGTGAGAGAGATGTTCTTTCAAATCGTTGGCCGTGCTCATTAAAGTTTTTCCATAGATTTTAGGCATAAAGATACCTTTGACATGCTTACGAGTGAGGTACTTGCAAACAATTGTTGATAGATTATTAGGAAGTTCTACTTTCATGAACTCCTTGAGCTCTTCGAGAAAGAAAGCATAAACATCTTGGATTTCTCCATCCGAAGATGGGATGAGATTCGTTCTCTTAGCCATGGTTTCATCCAACAAGAAGTAACTCATAATCTGATATGCACTCGCGGAGGCGTCTTGGGTAATAGGGGTGTTCCTAAGAACATCCATTTTGTAAGCGGTGAGTCCAATCATATTGGCGAAGAATTGAAAGGGACGTTTAGCCTCAAGAGCAAAATGGGATGGATTCTTATTAATCTGATCTACGTTTTTATAAAGCCACTCATGTGCCTTCTCGGCAGTGGGGAAATTCTTAAAATGGAAGGCGGCTGCTTCAAAAAATGGATTTTTCATATCATTAGATATAGATTCCATAGGTTTGGTACCCGCAAAGAGGATCAAACTTCTAGCTAGATCACGCTCATGGAAATGCAAGACCCCACTGCGGTAGATTCGACCTCGGAAGTCGAGAAAGGCCGGCAAATCAAAATGATAACCATCGTAGGCTAATGCCAGCTTGATAATGAAATCCTCATAACGAGAACACTGTATGTCCTTACATACTGTAACATTTCGCTAAAGCTACATAATTTATTAATATCCTCATCCTTCATGTATAACTCTCTAAGTAAGTTTGATACATCTTTTATATTAAAAGAGGAAAGAAATCTTGGCTTGAGTAAACCACTTTCAACAAATGACATCTCATTATCTAGAAGATATTTCAACCAATCACTGTTGATTTGAAAGGCCTGAAGCTGCAGCTTGTTCATAACATCACACAGTTTCTTAGAATCACCCCCATTTTTTCCAATATCAATATAAAAATGATTAAGGTTACCGGAACTTAACAGGCGGTAACGATCATAAATATCCCCAGTAGGACCACTTAAATAACCCCCTGATAGATCGGACAGGGTTCTAGGGCTTTCCCCCATCGGGCAGGCACTCGTCCAATCTAGAGGTTTGCATACCATAGGCAGGTTGAGCTTGATCGGTAGTAATGAAATATCAAAATTGCAGACTGCGTAGAGATGGGTTGGCAGATAATAAGATCCATTCTTCTTTTTCACCACTTGAACTTGATTGCTATAATCATTTATGAATGTGATCAAACCCCTTTGCTCCATAAATGGAATTAAGACTGTACCGATGGGATACATATTTTGTAATTTTGATCTTTTCTTACCCTTATTCTCTCCACCATCCGTGGACTTAGAAAACGGTGTTTTACACCTGCGGTTTTTCAATAATAAAGCTTGTGTCCGGACACTATGCTCTAGTCGATCAATAAATAAAAGTAGCAAGACGAATCATTGAAGTATGTTCAAGTGTGTTAAAAACCGAACTTAGTTCATAAACAATGAATGCCTCAATCGTATACTGACCGAACTCTGAAATCAATTCTATATCTTCCTGGTTGGATAAATCTTTCCTAAGAATATCCTTTGCACATCCCTCATCATTCCTGATTCATATTTTCATTATATTGGGAACACTCTTAAACATGGATTCTTCATCGAATTGAAGAGTCAGGTCCTCCATTTCTAATTGGATCTTACGTAATTCTTCTTTTAATGGGAAGCTAGCTTTAGCTTTATGCAAAATATCGAAGACTTCTATACTGATACCTTATAGATTGAGTCTTATCATTCTTCTCATCTATGTTAGTCTGTTGCAAATACGAATAAAAGTTATTAAAAAACCCTTATTAGTTTAGTTCTTGTTTTTCTTCCTCTTTTTTGGCACATCTTTCAATGAATGACGAATCCAAATTTCTGATGGTTTAATCGGCATGGCTTTCCAACTTTTAGTTTAGAGATCCTACCTTTTGGCTTTCCCTGAATGAATATGGATCTATTCAGTTGTCACTACCCTGGAAGACTTTCCGTTTTCTTTATACTCTGACTACTGCTTTGAGAGGTCTCTGGACGGCTCTTGCCAGTGACATACAGCTGTAGAACGGCATTTATGGGATTTCCCTGTTGTGTAGGTAGGTGCCACTACCCAGTATAAAGTACATCAGTATCCCCTCTAGCATACATAGTAGCTAGAGAACGACATTGGTATTACTCTAAAGAGTCATAAATTGATTGGTGTACTTTTTTTGGTGCTCTTCTTGCCTTCTCCACTTCTGATAGTTCGACCCGGTCAACTGGATATGACACTGGATCAGATAAGTTCATAGAAAGCGGGTCAACTGCTGGTCTTACCACCCTTGCAGAACCGCATTTCTATTTGGATCTATCACTTAAACATAAATAACTAGGACCCGGACCCCATCGAAAGTTTTTCTATTGTTTGCAATGTAATTCTTAATCATTTCCACCTCCGGGCTTTCCCATTCATCCCGGTGGTGCAAGGCCTTCGATCTAAAGGTCTTAGAAAGTTCAATTCTACAAGTAAAGGAGGGGCTCTTATTGAAACCTAGGTTGGCAGTTCCCTAGCCCCCCGCCCCCCCCTATGAAGAAAGAAGTGCTCAACCTCTCCTCTCGTCATGCAGTCTTCAGTCATGGGCTTTTATGTGTATGCCAGGTCTCTTGTTGGTTCGTCCAGGTGAACAGATCAATAAGAATCTTATGATCGATACTTACTTCAGCGAAGAGTACTCTATAATCATGGATTCCTTTGAAGAAAGGAGTACTAAGGTACTTTATGACTTGGTCTTAAGGATAGAAACGATAGTTAGACAAGAAAAATCTACTTTGACTATTGACTTCCACAATTTCTCTAGATTCGATGGTATTCTCTTGCTTAAGCACCTAGCATGTCATCATAAGAGCTACAAAAACCACTGTTGAGGAACAATAGGCTTTACGAGATAGCTGTCTATTCTGGTAAGAATATGTTCTTCTGCTTCAGAGACTCCTTGAATCTACTCCCTGGCAAACTTAGCGCCCTTGCTAAGAATCTATGCCCGGGTCTAGGCCAGAAAGGCTCTATCCCATATGATGAGGTTAAACTCTCAAATCTGGTAAGTATGAAAAAAAGCTTGTTAGACTATATGAAGCAGGACATCCTTCTCCTTGGAGGTGTAATGCAAAAAGCTCAAGAGATTAATTGGAAGCTGTTCAACGTGGACATAGAAAGCAAGATTACCGTTTCCTCACTGGCTCTAAGCATCTTTCGTATGAAAGACTACGATGATTCTAATTGGCCGGCCTATCCACATCCCAAATAAGAATGAAGACTTCTTTTTTTTTATAAGGCAGGCCTACTACGGTGGTCATACAGATACATACAAGCCATATGGCGAGGACCTATACTACTACGATGTGAACTCTCTCTATCCCTTTGTAATGAAGGAATTTCCAATGCCTGGTGGTGTGCCAGTCTGGCATGGAAATCTGGTTGGTAAGGAGTTAGATGATAGCTTGTTTGGCTTTATTGAGGCATATGTTGTATGCCCGAAGACTATCAAGCAAGAGGCCATTTCTACCCTATCGAGACAAGAATAACACTCTCATCTTTCCAACCGGGGAATTTGTTGGAGTGTACTATAGCGAGGAGTTAAAGTATGCAAAAGGCCTAGGCTACACTGTGATCCCAATCTCAGGATACCTCTTTGAGAGGAGGGAAAGCCCATTCAGGGACTTTGTTAGCACACTCTTTGAGAGCAGGTGAGAGGCAAGGAAAGAAGGTAATGAGGCCCTGGCCTATGTTTACAAGATCCTTATGAATTCGCTTTACGGTAGATTTTGTATTCACCCTAAAAGCACGACAACCGAGATCTGCGATGAAAATCGATACCAATATTTGATCAGGAATAGTGAGTTCATATACAGTGATATGCTTAGCAATAACAACTACATCGTTTCATACCATAGCAATACCGATAAGGGCTCAGATTATTGGAACCCACCGAAGAATTCAGCAGTCCAACTAGCAGCTGCGATAACTGCCTCTGCTAGGATCCATATGTACCCTTATATATAAAGAGATGCTACTACACGGACACTGACTCTGTTGTGCTTGGTCAGCCACTACCTGAAGAAGTGATTTCATCTTCTGTCTTAGGCAAGTTTAAGCTAGAGGACAGAGTCATGAAAGGATACTTTTTAGCACCGAAATCCTATTTCTACATCACAATAGATGGAGCCAATGTTCTCAAGTACAAGGGACCAGCTAAAAACCAGGTCAATCCTGAATGGTTTGAGTCACAGTTCGCTGACCCATCTCGTACAAAACAGGTACTGGTTTCTTCCAACTTCCGATCCAACAAGCACGGAAAGGCTCTAGTAAGCGCCAATCAATTGTTTACGCGCCCACCTTCTTTGCTTTTCTTCCCTTCCGCTTGGACCGCGAACAGCCGATCTTGGCTGGCTGGCCAGTAAGGAATTGTTACTTGGGGCCGTTTCCCATACGTGCTTGTTCATGTAGTTTAGTTTTATGAGGATTCATTAGGATTAAGCTTACGCTTGTGGTGTCGGGTGGGCACAAGAATAGCCAATTCAGGCTGACCCTTGATTCTATGGGTTAGATCGTCTTCTTTCTTCTATACGACGAAGGAAGGGTGCGATTCAGTCCGCTGAACTTGGGCGATAGATGTGAGGGCTACCCCCAGTTGTGCCAGAGCTCAGGTATCTACGAGAAGCTGAGGGAGGAACAATGGGCCGATAGCACCGACCGATAAGTAAGGTCGACCCGAGGGGGCAAGAGAAGAGCAATAAAAGGCCCAGCCTTGATTGTTGTAGCTTCAAGCCACTCAAGCAGAGAGAAAGCCCTTGTTCAAGCTTAGAGCAAAGACCAATGGAAAAGGTGACGGATCTCCGCAGCTAAACCATCGTCAGGTTCTCATATATATAATGGGCTAGCGTCCGGTTTAATACAATGAAAAAGGGGAAGTCTACTAACTATAGGGCTACTCCACCTGACGATTGTTGTCTTCTTTCAATAATGCTTTGTTGGTCACCGCTGCGAGGCATCGCTGATAACATCGCCTGTTGTACAGTTGCTTTAGCCTAGGAGCCAACCTAGCTAAGGTTCACTCCTTTTTTCTTTTATTTCCTTGAGAATGAAAAGTCCTCATCCTCACCCGCAGCAAGCACTTTTTCTTTGTTTGTTCTTTGTGCGAGTTCAGTGCTTCTCTGATTCATAGTGGGACCCGCTGTTCATTAATAGGGGTTCTTCCTTTTCTTTCTATCTATTAGGAACTGCTTGTAGAAGAAAGAAGATCAGGCAGTTTACTGCTAAATGGGGCTAGGAACTCCTATCCCGAGGGGCCGAAAGGCGAATAGACGACCTACTAAAGACAGATCGTCAAATGGCGACGTATATAAAGGTTCCTCACAAACTGAATTGCTTTCTCGAGTTGCCGAAGCTGAGCTTGAAGAGCTTGTTCTCTCCACTCTTGCTGCTTTCTTTGCTATTGCTTCTGTTGAATGTAAGAGGGGTGAATTGAAACTTCTACGACTAAGTGCTATGGAAATGGTTCTCCACACGGAAGACCTATCCCCCCGCTCTACGAAAGAAATGAACGAATGGAAGACAGCCAGAGGAATTCCGAACTGCCATGCGGGGTTCTTATACCAGCATTCCCTTCAGGCCGAATCGAAGTTTTTGTTTGAATAAGGGCCTAAGGAATGGAAGACTCACGAGGTAAAAAAACCTGACTGCGAAGAAGTCCAGGCAAAGGAAATGGGCACTTACACTATAACTATAGATAGACAGCTAGAACAATTTCAAGACTTGGCAATGATACCACAGGAAAGAAGAAGAAAGCCGCTTACCACCTAAGGGTAAGGGAATGGCTGGACTACTAGCTAGGATGAAAGGTATTCGGCCCTTACTCAAGGGATTACTGATTAGGCTTTAGGCTCCTCGAAGGAATGGGCTAACTAAGTAAAGTACCTTACCTTCGACTGATAGCTAAGAGAGAGCTAGACATAATGGACATACACAAGGAAAACCCTGACCTTAGCCTCACTTCCAAGCTTGAGACCAGACAAGAAATAGATACTATTACATATACATGCGTAATTTGATAGGTGAACCAGGATTAGAAGTGATTCCGCCCTAAAGGAGGATTTGATCACTGCGGGGCCTATTACACCACCATCAAATGAGACACCAATGCATGCACCACTTACAATAGCACAAGAGGAAGGAAGAAAACACAGAGAAGGAGATCATTAAAAAACCTGCAAGAGCAGTACAATCACATAAAGGAAAGACTGTGAATAACTCACGCAGTAAAGCAAAAACCTAAACTACCTATTAAGACCTTACTACGAAAAAAAAGTCAGTTGCAAGTCGAGAGAGAGAGAACTTCCTAAAAGGAGAAGTGAGAAAATTAGCCCTCGTAAAGCCCCACGGAGCGGTAAGGAAGGCAGTTCACCAGGTAAGGCCTCCCATCAGCTAGTTCGGTCGTTAGGTAGAGAAGAAAGGGCTTCTAGCCTACTAGTTAAGTAACAGCAGTTGTGGTTTCTTAGAATCATCCTCAGAGGGAGCCCATTACAGCACCGGGATACATAACATAAAGGCAAATCATTGTAAAGTCTTATCGTCAGGTTTGAGACTAAGATTCGAGCATTTAATCGACAGAATTTGCATTTAAAGCCAAGATGGTGTAAGTGATTCATAACTCATCTTCCCTTCGTCGCTGTAAGTGGAATGCCCTGAAATTCTTCCTGAAATAGGGACTCGAAATCGAATACAGCCATTAGGAGAGATCCCGGCAGAAGATGCCTTAAGCATATATTGACCCTCTATAGGACTAAAATATGGGTTAGGGCAGCTAACCCACCCATACTGTATGCTTAAGGCATCTTCTTCGCAACAAGTCTTATTCCTATTGCTTCTAGCCCCATTACATACCTTTGATAGCCATTTCAAATCTATCTATCTATTTGAGACCAAATCCTATGACCACATTCTCCTTTGAGTTCCGATCTGACATTCATTCAGAAAGCGCGAAGAACTGACTTATTAATCTATATATGTATAGTTAGAAATCTCGGATTTGATTTGAACCAACGCTCATCAACGGATCACGACGTGAACTGTCAACCGCTCTACCACCGAGCTACCGAGACGGGAGGGACTGATTGATACATGGAAGCCTATAAAATAAAGTGAGTCCGCTCATAAGAACAGTAAGGCTATCTTAGTCTCATCATGTGCCCTTCTTAAAGAAACCTATCGAATGAAGATGCCACTCAGGGACCCCTCGTTATGGATAGGTCTGGAAGAGCATGGGAAAGAAAGATCATCTTGTTCCTTTAGTCAACCGTGATTCTATTATGTTTTACAGCTATTCATTTGATTGACTCTGTTCCGAAGGTCCTCAAGAATCACTCTCAGGCTCGGGGATGCACAAATATCTAAATGATAGACAACGATTCCCTAATGAGACGAACTGACCGCATTTTAGAAGAAAACTCAGAACGAAGGCTTAGAAAATGAGTCTTTTGGGGGAGGCCCGCCCGGAGGAGAGCTGGCAATGGGCTCTTGCCTTACTTAACTTAATGGGAGGTGCTAGTACAACCCTTTCCTGAAATGGGATTCCAAGTCGTGTTGTTTTTGTTATATTTTAGTAGTATGGGCGCATAAGGGGAAGCTAGCACTACATTTGATATTCCTTTCCTTGGTCTCTTGCGCTTTCAGGCAAGGGTAGCTAAAAAGTAAGAAGGTTCTGAAAAAAAAAAGACAAGCCTTAAGTCCCTCCCCTGGTCTCCTTAGTGATCGGAATGTAGCCAATGGGAAAATGACGTATGGTAGTAGTAGTATGAGTGAGTGCTTTCCCACTATCTATATAACTTCTTCGTCGGGCTAAAAAGATAAGTAAGTCAAATATCCTTTCTTTTAAGGCCCTTCTTCAAAAACTTTAGCTCGAACGCCCAGAGTCCAGACGCTCAAGCTCTGATTTCACCCGATACGAAAGGATCTCCGCTAAAAATGAATCTGATTCCCACGAATACCATATTCTATATTATATAGTATGGCCATCTTGTCATCATATTCGCCTTCCCCAGAGCATAGAGCGACTTCTTCGCAATGTCAATATCCTTCCTCAGCTGCTCCAAGAACAAGATATCTCGTAGAAAGAATAAGTAGAGCTAGACTGCATGAGTGGCTTGTAGGAGAAAGAGTGGAAGGATTCTAGCCAAGACGGAGATGCAAGCTTGTCTGCTATTGGATGTTCTAGTTTAGCTCGCGGATTGGTCTTCATTGCGCACCATCTGGCTGGTAAGAATAAGATATTGTTCCGCTAGTGTTGCTTGGTCAACAATTTGGATAGTTTGCTTTTCTTTCATCTTTCTAAGAGCAGTCTGTTTGATCAAATCAGGGATCAGACCGCTCCTGGTGTTCGAACTAGTCATTAATGGTCGGCTTCATTGGTATCCTTTCGGTATGCGTTGCGAACACTTTCATTTTGAGCGTCTCACCTTCTCTAGAGAAGCGAAACTCGAACGGATAGAGCAGATGGTCCAACTACATAACTTTTTATTTTTCATTACTTCTATGGTCGTGCCTCGTGGCACGGCAGCACCCTTACTATTGAAATGGTTCGTCAGTAGAGATGTTCCCACAGGTGCCCCTTTTTCCAATGGGACTCTAATTCCTATTCTTATCCCTTCATTCCCTCTTTTGGTCTATCTACATTCCAGGAAATTCATACGCTCCATGAACGGAGTCTTGGTCAGAGCAAGCCGCCCTATTCTATTACCAGACATAATTGGGAGAAGCTCATCCGAAACTAGAGCTGGAAACGCCTCATTTCGTTTCGTTCCCGTTCTTTATTTCCTTCTTCTCGAATCCAAGGGGGACTTCTCATATTTAGAATCTTTCTGCGGTGTGCTCTGTTTACTATTCTTTCGTACTCTCTTCTCTTTACCACGCGATAGGTCAGCAAAGCGTGAGCGGGCGCGGAGAAGGAAACGCCAAACACTTCGGCCTAACCCTAACGGGAATGAGCAACAACGAAATGACAAGATGGGGTGCTCCGGGCACCCCCATTTAGAAAGAAGGGTAGAAGGTTTTGGGCCTGTAGCTTTCCCCGTCCCCCCTTCGTCGGGTGGTGCTTGTGTGGGGGGTCTGCCACCTGAACCTGAAATCGGGCTTGAAGCTCTCGCCTTACCAACGAGCCGACAGCTGATGGCTGTTGGTCACGACTACCACCAAAAAGCTCCAATGAAGATGAATATTTCACATTTTGGAGTGTGCATCTGTATGTTGGGTGTTCTTCTGTCGTGCGACCCGGCGGCTTATGTGCGACCTGTGGCCCACGCCTCCTATTTGTTCAGGGCGGGCGGCGTGAACTCTGACTCGATCCGGGTATTCAATCCCGCCGCTGAGATGCTCAGTTGACTCCTTAACCTTGATAGGAAGATGGCTTAT